ACTATTCAAAAATATTCTGAAAGTGTTAATTAAGTTGCTTGGTCAATGAGTTACAGGTTCCAATAATTTTCGTTGATAAAGAATTATACATGAAAACAAGCTAAAGAACCACCAATGAGTCAGTGACAACATGTTTACGCTTTGAAATTTACATTTGGCAAAATATTCTAGAACAATTATGAAACCCTCCAAATTACTTGGTTATTCAAACGTAAAAAAAAAATTGTTATCCATATACTACATCTGTTCTACAAAATAAATGTTTTAAAAATAGTTTGTACTAGGTGTTTTGCCCGCACTTGCGGGCATAATTTTCTTGTGAATATTTATCCGTTGATGTTTGATTAATATATTACTTATGTTTTCGAAAAGAAAAAATCAAACATCAAATAATTATAAATGACAAAACTCAAACATCAGAAATATTTTAAATAATATAGTTCTATAATTAATTTCCTTGATTTATATTTAATTATAATATTTATCCAAATATTTTTACTTAATTTATATTTAATTATATTTTTTATATCTTAATTTTAAATTTTATAATAGAAAAAATATTTTCAGATAAAAATACAATGCATAAGTTATTTATTTTCTAAAAATATAATATGAAAAATTCGTTTTAATTATATAATAATTATATAAGATTATAGAAATGATGACATATGATTACAATTACTTAAATCATGGAGAACTTAACAAATCAACAAATTCACTTCTTAAATAACTTTGTTTTGAGTGATGATTTATATTTAATTAATAACAGATAAATTTTCAATTTACTTTTAAATTATATAATATAAAAATATATTTTCAATTACCTTATTTTCTAAAAATATAATATTATTAGTGTAAATTTATTTGAAGTATAGAATAATTACAACTTCTTAAACTGTAATTTTAAATTTTTAATAGAAAAATATATTTCCAAGACAACAACATAATACATAAGAAGTATCTTATTTTCTAAAAATCTGATACTATTAATATAATTTTTTTAAATATATAATAAATTATATATAAAATTATATAAATTATGATAATTATCAAAGTTACCTAAAATCAAAGTTACCTAAAATCATGGAAAATATGACAAACCATCAAACATTAAATTCACTTCTTAAATAATAGAAAAGACTTCTTACATGTTAATTTCAAATTCTATTGTAAAAAATATATTTTCAAGATAACAACATAATATATAAGAATTAACTTATTTTCTAAAATATCATATTCTTAATATAAATTAGTTTTAATTATATAATCAATAACAAAACAAAATTAAAGAAATTATGATAAGTGATCAAAATTACCTAGGATCATGGAGAAGTTGACAAATCAACAAATTAACTTTTCAAATATTTTTTGATGATTTAAATTTAATTATTAATAATATAATTTGTATATCTTAATTTAAAAATTTATAATAGGAAATTATAATTTCAACATAACAACATAATACATAAGAATTATATTATTTTAGAAAAATATAAAATTATTAATACAAATTTGTTTTAGTTATATAATAAATATAATAATTTTTATATCTTAATTTAAACTTTAAGTTTTATTTATAAATTTAGTTCAAGATAACAACATAAATCACAAAAAATTATCTTATTTTGCTAAAATATAATATCATATAAATAAATTATATATAAATATTAAAATATGATAAATAAGCAAAAATACCTAAATTTGTGGAGAACATGACAACTAAGCAAATTTACTTTTTAAATAATAGTATAGATGTGTTTTTATAAAACAATATTAAAAATAGAATAACAGTAAACTGTAATCTTCACAAAACTTAATTATTATATTTTGATATTATTGGTTTAATCTCATTTAAAATTGATAATCAGAAAATGATGTTTTTGTGATACAAATTTAATAATTTTTCAATGTTTAACAGCTTTTTAATTCATTTTAGAGTTTTTTCATAGGCCTCTAAACTTAGATGCTCTTTACTGCCTAGTCTGCTTTTTACCATTTATAATGTCTCAAATGTCTATTTTATTGCTCGTCACTTAAAAAAATTGCCATACAGTATTTAGATTTTTATATAGTCCAATCAAACTGAAAGTTTTCAGACAGAAACTATATTGAACCAAATTAGTTCAGTTTGTGGGAATCCGATCAAAATGTTCAAGGAGCTCAAGTAAAATAAATGTTTTAGGGGAAAAAGTAAGTTTTTTTATAAGTTAATAGAAGTTTGCATACATTTATGCATTAATAGAAGTTTGTATATTTTAATACAAAAAAATAAGTTTTCTTTTGTGATTCTGAATCTGAACATGCATGCAAATTTGAATGCTGTTGAAGTTCTTTGATGTTGTTACAACTTACCAAACGCTGTAGCAACTTAACTATTATTATAGGAAAGAAAAAATATAGAAAACATTTTACGGTATCCTCACTAGCCATTAGGCAATTATTTTACCTAATCTTAATAGTCGTCGTCATCATCATCAGATTCAAATGGGATCATAATCGGATTGAGAAAAGCCTTAGTTATCTCTACGGCAAGATCTGGGTTTCTGGCAAGAAACATCTTGAACTCACCAGAATCCAAAAATGTATTTTTATTCCTTACGATAAATCTCAAAACAGCATCGGTGAGCGGTTCGTCCAAAGGAACCTGCGAGAGCTCAAGTACGTCAAGTGCATTGGAAGAACTGAGAGCCGATATAAGTTCGCTTCTGCACAAGTCCCTTAAATGAGGAATCTCGTATCTTTCCGCTGCTAGATAAAGCGACCGAGCATGTTTCTTTAGTTTTGAAGAAGAAACTGATCCGTGATCGTTGTACATGAACTCAACTAGAGTCTCTAACTCCTCATGGCTCATCTCTGAGAAAATTAACGTTTTACGGTCGGACGAAGCCTTTGTCACTTCTGTTTCCAGCATCTTCTTGAATACCTCAGATCTTGCTGCCTATAATCATTGATAAAAGCATGCCAATACACGAAGTAGTATGTTAAAGTATTTTTTCCCGAATATGAAGATGAAAAATGAGAGAGAAGATATAAATACAAGAACAAGTTTGTGGGCGGAGATAGCTGCAAAGTCATTAGTGTCTCCTGCCATGAGACGTAGATCGGTATGCCATTTTTCTTTTAAGATTTTTGCAAATCCACTAGAGGAAACGTCTTTATCGGTTTCTGTTGCCATATAGTTGTAGTTTCTATTCCAAGGAAAGCCAAAATTGAGTAACTTTGTTTATACCCTTAAGGCTAATATGTTAGGATTATATAGTAAACTAAGAGACGAGAGGTTAAAAACGACGGTCAAAATGGATAGACAAACATAGTTGCTCTTTTCTCAAGAGAACAAACAAGTTACAAAACGATAGATCTCTAAGTCACCATATTCCTAGAATATTTTATTTTGTAAAAACTTTACTTGTCTACTAATAAAGTTGTCAAAACAGGTCGTGCTATGAGGCAGATATAGACTTAGAAATCATATAAGGTTATAAAAAATAAAAATATTCATATTTTAATTGTGCAATTAGGTTTAATATTTTTTAAAAATTATTAAAATGTTGATTGCATAAGATGTGGATAAAAAAGGTCTAAAACAAGAATTTTACAATTTCTTTTCACATCTCTCTTAATTTTTTTATTTCTTTAATTTTAATAGAAAAATTCTGATAGAAAAATCTCCATTGTAGGTGATCTTAGAATTAAAGATCTATGATGAATCTTGTTTTGTGGATCAGCCTAAACGGATTAAGGGTTTTAGAGCATCCGAAATGGATGCCACAAAAAGTTAATTAGAATTCAATTTTTAAAATATCTAAATAAAGATTCTTTTTTAGTAATTTCTTGCAACTCTCACGACACATGGTGGTCCACGATTGGTTATTATTATTATTTTAATTTAGAATAATAATAATTTAAAAATTAAAAAACACTTTTTTCTAAGGATTCTAACGGGATATCACCATTGGAAATACTCTTATAGGCCTTTTTTTTTTTAGGCTTTGGCTTCTAAATAATTTTAAATAGGTAAGTCCGTAAATTTCTTTTCTCAACTTATAAATTAATAGATTACATATCTTAACAAAATATATCGATACTTTGGCAACTATATCTTATTTTTCTGATTCCTCCAAAATATGTTACTTTTAAACAAAACACATTTCCACCGACCATTGTTTGCATGATCTGGTCAGCAACAAGCTGTATTGATTAGTGATACGATAAGAAAACACCGAAAGTAAAATAAGATAGATGAATTAGTGATAATATACAGCTGACAGTTCACCCAACATATATGAATATATAATGTGCATATGTGCACATTCAAAGCCAGCTATCACAAAAAGTTGGTGCAAACAGTTTTTGTGGAATTAACTCACTAAATGTTACTAGTAATTGGGTTAAGTAGGCATGACTCTTTAATTGAATTTTAGCTACCCTAAATTCAAATGTGTTATATGTATTTTATTAAGGTTAATCAATGAAATGTCCAGTTTATTTATCTTCTATATATATGAGAAAAATAGACTTCTACTATGTTTTGTACTAAGGCCGGTTCTTGGGCTAAGCTATAGAATCAGCTGTTTCCGGCCAAATTTTATATCAACAAGATACGGCCTCAAATTTATCAAGTGTCTTATTCTAGTGGTATGTGTTAAAGAAAACAGTTTTGGTACACCTTCATATAACCTAGGACCGACTCTGTTTTTTTTTGTTTTTGTTTATAGTCTTGTATAACAGAGGACCGGCTCTATCTGTACTGGTAGTTTGGAACTGGACTTCCATATTCGTAGGAACCAATGTTTCAACCTCATGTAATTTTCGGTTATGTAAAATGTAAAGCGTACCACTTCCAAAAAAGCAATACAATTACCTTTTTACAAAAAACAATATAAATACATTTGATCGATTAATGACAGGGTTTTTAACGTTAACCTCCTCCCTCATATTTATTTAATTTAGTTTAGCTATTATCACCGGACCACAATATTATCAAAATAAATTATATGTATGTGTGTTTGTTTGTAGAATAATTCAAACAAATTTTAACGGAAGTAGGAGTTGTTCTCACTTTCAATGTCTCCGTATTCTATTGCTCTTGTGGATGGTTGAGAGTAAACACAAGAAGATGGAGGAGGCGGAGGATGAGCCGCCGTAGGTTGTGGTGGAGTTGACGGCGTTTGTGGTGGTGGTGCAATGACGGAGACGCCGCCAGAGTTGTGATATCCGGCGACTTGGGAGTTGGAAGGTACTATCAAAGTGGCCACAGCTTCCCGTTGCTTGTACTTGAGAATCTCAGATCGTACGGCTGTAAGCTCGGCTTGTAAAGCTTGAACTTGTTGTTGTAGAGCTGCGATTGCTCCCATGCAGCCGTACACCGGATCTCTTAGCCTCACGTTTGCTTCATACACGAGGCTATTCGCCGTGTCTGCTCTCTGGCCTTCGGGTACTTCCTGGTTAGTGTAAAAATTGTTTAAAACTATGAGGATATATCTACCAAGACATTGTTTAAATTTTTTTTTTATGAGATATTTTATAATGAAAGCCAGACCAATTCCCGGTTATGTAATGAGTCTAATGACCAAAGAGTACATATGAATATATGATCATTAGCACTATAACATGATGATATTTGTGTGTTTATTATTACCATTAGCATTTTGGAGACGTTGCTAGCTCCAAAGATTTTGTGGACGGATGCGAACTTAAGAGGCTCATGTGGGGAGAAATAAGGTGAGAAAGGACATTCTTGAGCGCATCTACGGCGCAGAAGTTTGCATGCAGCACAAGGAGTAATGGTATTGAGAGCTCCAAGAGGACCGGATGTATGTCTTCTAATTCCTGCCATTTGATGAGGCCAAGCATCTGCTTCTCTTTTGATCTTTTTCCCTATCTCCTCAAGTCTCTCCCTAACACAAGGAACCAAATAAGAACTTAAGTTATTATTAAACACATAAGACTAAAAAAAATTGAACCATATCCACCAATTTGAGGGTAATAAAATTAAAGCATTTTAAAGAGAAAAGGGGTTTCACTAAGAGATGTTCACTTTTTACCTTTCTCTTGACATTCAGGCATGCTCAGAGAGGATCGAAAAAGTAGAAAGAAACAAAAAGAGAAATACTAAAGCCAAGCGACTTTTAAAGAGGGTGTGAAGGAAGATTGGTGAAAAAGGCTTTAAAGCCAAGTAAAATACCAAGTTTAAGATTTACTGATCACGATATATATCGTATGAGTATGTCTGGTGTCAATATACAAATAGATATAAAAGAAAACGTTGAGGCTGGCTTGAAATAGACCTCTCTGATCGAGATGAAAGAGGTTTGGTAGCTCGAGAAGCAGAACAGTGTCTTTTTTAAGATGAAAACAACTGAAGATATCTAGAAGTGAAGACTCAAGAGCTGTATTTACTGCTTAAGCACGTGACCCGTGAGAGTTTTTTATTTTTATTTTGACCTTATGAATCTGATGATCACTCACAATTATAAATTTATAATCATATACAAATATGCATCATTCATCAGCCAGTCAACAACAAATGGATTTTGTGTTTAATGCCTACTTTATATTTTTTTTTTGTTTTCCCATGGCCGCATGTGGACTTTTGCTTCACATTTATAACACACTTCTGCTTTATTTCCAATAGTAATCAAATCTATAGCTCTTAGAAATCAAATTTACGTTATATATTATGTAACCAAGGTTGCAGCTAATTCTTCGTGGCATTAAAGGTTTATATATATGTCTACACCGTTGCACGCGAATGGACCTCCTGACTATCCTAAACTGATCAGCGATATAGCTTAATAGGTTTGAAAGTTTATAAAAGTAAAAAAAATTGGTAAAGCATTTAGAAAGTACATTGTTAGCTAATAACTGTAGGCCCATATATTCTCTCTAGACCACAGTTAGTGATGGTACCAAACAGTTTATCAAATTTCTTCGTCAATCGTTAAAGGCTACTCAAATCTTGAACCACGAACTCACAACTATCAATGGCGTAGAAAGCACTTGCGTAAAAATATGTATTACTGGAGAGGATTAAGTCAGCTTTGCTTTCATATTCGAATAGATATTATGGTTCAGAATTGTTACAAAAAGGTAATATTGTTATCACATCGATATATATATTTTTTTTTGAATGAATGCAAAATTTTATTCAATCAGAACCTTTTTACATCTAATGAGTCTTCTATATGCTTTAAAGCTTTAAAAATCAAGAGCCAAAAAATCAAAAAAATCATCGATATCTTATATGATAATATGAACTTTATATATTCGAGTTAAGATGGTGGCATAACACTGAGATTAACATATACCATAAGTTATATATCTTGGTCACAGCAAAATAATTATTATTCAACTCATCTCCAGTTTCAATTGAAAATCCAATAGAAAGAAGAATATTGCTTAGACTCTAAGAAAGTTTTGCACTTGTATATTCTTGTTTGACCCGTATTTGTAGCCTAACTCGTCGCCCCGTTGTTCTCTCTTATCTGTATTAAAAGTTAGAGCTAGCAGAGAATATTATTTATTGACATATAAAATATTAATTAACTTTTTTTAGCACAAAAATATTAGTTAAACAAATACTATAATTTAAGTGTGTACTTGCAAAACTGAAAAATTTAATTATAAATATAACTTGGGCTGAATAATGTACTTATGTTAACATGGACCCGAACCCATTGGACCGCTGTTTTGTAGGCAAAGTGCTGTTGATTAAACTACAGATATGGGATACACTCGCACAATTTGAAATTTTCACAACCAAAAAGTTGCATAGTCTAAGGAAAACTTCTTTTTGGGAAAATTACTTCAAAGTTATGTCATGCACAAATACCATGAAGATAAAAATCAACTAGCCACAATTTCAGGTAACTCTCTTTGTTCTCTTTCTCTCTTTACCAACTTTGGTTTTTAAAAGGATAGTCGTTTTGACTCTTTTCAGTTGATTCTTGACATTATTTTTTACATTTGAGATTCTTGTCAAAATTTTGTATTGGAGTCTAAAGCAACACTTAATTATTGGTTTTCCTTGAGCAGTGGTACTTATTATAAATGGAGTAGAATGTACTTAAAATTATATTTAACATCCTCACAATGGTTGCAAGGTATGTATATAGTTTTCACTTTTTACCTCTTTGTTGTTTCTTATCATCTAGTTCTTTTTTAATTTACTTTGGCCATTATGGATTTGGTTTACTGGTTTAAACTGAGATAATGAATATGTTTTTCAAAAACCAAAAGTATATGAATAGAATCAATAAATGCTGGCACACATTTTTCTTGTCGTAATTTTATTGGAATTTTCGTGTTGGGTTCGAATAGTATTAACCACTGTAAACGCTTTCAGTGGCAAAAAAACTCAGATTTCTTCGGACTTCGTAAGATTAATCTTTAGACCTACAAAACATTTGGGATTCTCACGGTTATAAAGAAAAAAAAATGTTAGCCAAATACGTAGAAAGAACTTCTCCATTGTTTATAAAAGAAAGTTCTTTAAGGATCCAGCACAACTTACAAGTCTTTTAAGAATACTAATTCGAAAATAAAAATCTTTCAATAACTAAAAAGACATGAAAAGCATAACTGTAAATTAGAAACAGTAGCCGTCCTGAGGTCCTGGAACAAAAACGTGGGTGCATGTCTGTCAGAATGAAACATTACCTTTTATATATGTTATATTTTCAAATATAATGCATCCTTCGTAACTATTCAATCTCATTGTAGAGATTGAACTCCTGTTGTTGGTAAGCATTCCTCTGTTTTAAGCTGCTAATGAATCTCTTTTAAAATGTATAAATTCTTTGAGGGTAAGAAAAGTTAGGTCTTAGTTTTCATTCAGTGGTTAAATGCAAACTAACAGAAGGCAAAAGATACAAAAAAGAAAAATATGAAATGTGATTACTGCTTCTTCTTATGTTCTGTATTCTCTTAATAGGACTTCACGAGTAGAGTATTCACTATCTCGTCCATGGCTTCTGGAGCAGTGTTCAATTTGTCTGATTCTAGTCTTCTCAAAATCCATAAAGGTGACATCACCGAGTGGTACGTGGATGCGAGAACCGATGCTATTGTAAGTCTATCTCCTTCCTCAATAAATTCAAATCCTAAAATTAGATGAAACTTTAGAGTACGTTATAAAAATGGTTTGATAGTCTCTTGTATCATTTGGTTGATGCTATTGCTTCATCGTTACTCTGACTTAGACAATATGTTTCTTCAGGTCAATTCAGCAGATAACCGAATGATAGGTGGTGGTGGCGGCGTTGATGGAGGTAAATTTTTGCCGAGTCTTGTCTTCTTCAGTAATCTTCAATCCACTGACATTGTGTAAATTGTATATGTGACAGCAATACATAGAGTTGCTGGGCGACACCTGAGAACAATGTGCTGTGGCGTCCCTCAAGTTAGTCCTGGAGTGCGTTGTCCAACCGGTGAGGCAAGAATCACTGTGTGCGTTACTCTTTCCCTGCTCAGTTCTAATGTATATAATCAATGAGAGGTAATTTGAGTTAGGTATTGTAACATTGTTGATTAATGAAGGCATGTTGGGTTTGTTAAAATGTAACAGGGGTTTCAATTTGTATGCATCTCATGTGATTCACACTGTTGGACCCGTCTATGAATCAGACGTCAACCCTAAAGAATCGCTCACCAGTTCTTACAAGTAAACAGTTTCTCTAGTTCTTAAGAGACGTTTCTAAGTACATTCTAATGAAACATTGGTATTGGGTTCCCAATTTTTTTGGCGATCATATATTTAAACATATGCCGGTTTTATTTGTTCTATAGGATTCTTCTAAACATAACTCACTTCATCTCTATGTTTTGCTACAGAAATAGTCTTATAGTGGCGAAGGAAAACAACATCAAATACATTGCATTTCCTGCCATATCTTGTGGGAATTCTCGGTAATGTTGTCACTGCAACCAGAAACTTAAAGTCGTTTTCTTATTTGGGTTTGTTCTTAGAATGTCTTGTTTTTTTCTTTTGTTATTAGATATCCTAAAAATGAAGCTGCTATGATCGCTATATCAACGATTAAAGAGTTTGCCAATGACTTTAAAGAGGTAACAGCTGCTTCTCACGTCCATATTGTTACATTTACATTGGATTTTCAAATGACATTTTTCTTACAATCTTGTATTGTCATTCTTTTGTAAAGGTGCATTTTTTGTTGTCTGCGGACGATACCTATAACGTGTGGGTAAACAAAGCAAATGAGTTGCTACAAGAAGCTTAAGCTTCCCTCTACCGCCTAAGAGTATACCCATTAAGCAAAACATGAGTAAAGAAGACTTTGTTATTTTGTGTTGTGTGATGAGAGCCGTGTGCATACTCCACACAATGTTATGGTCCTTTGGATTTTAAGAGTTGAACAAAACAAAAACAGTCGGTTCATAAATAATTTTTGGTTTGTTTGTAAATTAAACCCTCCTGGAATCCAAACAAAATTTGAAAAAGGAAATTGTAGGATATTACAAAATCTAAATTCTAAGAAATATTAAACCTGTTGACCAAAAAAAAAAAAAAATTAAACCTGATCCTTAATGTAAATGGAAATAGTAAATTAAGAAGCTCGAAAATATTAAATTCTAAGAAATAAAAAAGGAAATTAGATAAGGAATAATAATAAAAAAAGGAAATAGTGAAGATAGCACTCTGATATTTCCTTTTCTGGCAACCGACTGAAGAATATTGTTATAAATAAGGCAGTCAAGACTCCAACATAACCACATATCAAACAAACCTAGATAGCTAAGATTAGTATCTGAGTATGATGAATAGAGACGAAGATAGATCTATGGTCAACAATCTTGAAGAACAGCAGAGACTTATGATGCTTCGTTCCCAAGGCATGCCTCCTCCTCCAGCTTCCAACAACCATGTCAATCACATGAACAATCTCGAGGAAGAGCAGCAGAGACTCATGATGCTTCAATATCATCGCAGATTCCAAGCCATGCCTCGTCTCCAACACACCGATCCCAGCAGCAGCAGCTCAAACCCTAATAAGGCTCCGGTTTATCCACCTGGTTCACGGTTTCTTCCAACTAACTTGGGGTGTGTTAGGGTTCATCTAAGAAACAAGGTGGATAAGAAAAAGAGCGGTTTCATAAGAACTTTGGATCTCTACAAAGACGACCCGTGGCTTCTTAAACACGTGCAAAACGATCTGTTTCCTAGAGGGGAATGGTACTACTTTACTCCTAGGAACAGAAGAGGTGTCAGTTCATGTAACAGGACCGTTACGGGAAGTAAAGGAGGTGGTACATGGAAAAGCACTAGTAAGAAAGAGCCGATCATGGACAAAGACAATAAGGTGCAAGGTTACATGCAGAATCTTGTTTATAACAAGATTAATAGTAACGGAGATATAAAGCCTACTGGCTGGAACATGACAGAGTATTGCCTCCATAAAGAAAATCAAGACTATTTGGTCTTGTGTCATCTTAAAGGTAATCTCAAGAAGAACGAGTTCGCTGAGGAGGTGAATAAGAAGAGCATCTTACCGAACCAAGTGCAAGAAGAAGAAGAAGCTGGTGCTAATCGAGTTGAGATGAAGATGCCACAAGAAGATCATGGTGACCCCACTCAGCATCAGCAGCAACAAGAGCAAGATGCACTGGCTCTAGCTCTTCCTCCTCATGAAGGCCAAGGCCACGGTGACGTTACTCAGCAGCAACAACAGCCACAAGAGCAATATACACCGGTTCTATACCGAGATTCAAGATTTGAGACGATGAGGAATATGCAGAACAACATCACGAGGACGATGCCACTACAAGAGCAACAAGAGCAATATGCACCGGTTCTAGCTCTTCCTTCTCCTCATGTAGGCCAAGATTTAGGTTTTGAGACTACTATGACGACGCAGAATAACAACGACTTCATGCCGACGATGCAACAAGAAGACTATGGTGATGCTACTCAGAAGCAACAAGAGCAATATGCACCGGTTCTATATGGAGATTCAAGATTTGAGACGATGCTACAACAAGAAGATCATGGTGACACCACTCAGCAGCAACAGGAGCAAGATGCACCGGTTCTATATGGAGATTCAAGATTTGAGACGATGAGGAATATGCAGAACTACATCACGAGGACGATGCCACTACAAGAAGATCATGGTGACGCCACTCAGCAGCAACAAGAAGAAGATGCACCGGTTCCACCTCTTCCTTATCCTCATGTAGGCCAAGATTTAGGTTTTGAGACTACGATGACGACGCAGAATAACAACGACAACAACTTCACGCCGACGATGCAACAAGAAGATCATGGCGACCCCACTCCTCAGCAGCAACAAGAGCAAGATGCACCGGTTTTACCTTTTCCTTCTTATTACGAAGATCAAGATCCATGGTTTGATACGATTACAGCTATGATGGAGGCAGACCTAAAATATCATTGGGATGATCAAAATGTTTGTTTTAGGGTCGATGACCTCCTTATGGAAGATGATGTCAATGAAGGATATTTACAACAACCAGTTTCTCAAGCTCCAGATGCACTAGGTGGATCTGATGCACCAGGAGGATCTGCAGATTAAACTCATGTTTACTTCATATTAAGTCTCTGCTTCAGTGTGTTTTCTTAGTTTGTTTGAGCTTGCTTTCTTACTTGCTTTGCAAGAAAACGATTTGTACTCTCTCTCTTGATTTGATTTGATTTGATTGAATTTTTTTATCTTTGGATTATATTACTCCCCTTGATTTACCTTGTAATCATTCACAAAATTCAATGATCCTAGTGTTAGATTCGGTAATATAGGATATAATCCATGTAGGAGTTGAAGTAAGAGTAGTTAACTTGACTCGCACAAAGGATAGTGTGGAACTATTCAGATAATTAGGAGATGTGGGGTTTTAAGGAAGGTTTACTCGTGGATTTATATAACAATGGATAGTGAATATAGAGTCTAGTCAAGTATCTTTTTTTCATATAAATATTAGAAGTTTTAGTTTGTTATTTGACTGGAATGGATGTGTACTGAGTGTTCGTTTTATATATAAATATCTTCAGAACATCAAAACATGTATATAGCTTGATGGAGTGGCACATATCACAAATAAAAAGATCTGAGTGGAACAAAGTGCATCACATACATGATTTCTTCTTCTTTTTTTTTTTTTATATTTGCTACCTACTTTGACTAATTGTATTACCGACATTAACATTTCAGGTAGTTTTCCTTTTAGCCTTTTGTTTTGGTAGGAAACATCTAAAGGCTATTAATTTGGTAATTAGTCCATTTTTTGAAGCTAATTTAGAAGGTAGACAATTTTGTAAAACTCTTCAAACAACTACCATGTTTGTTTTAGAAAAGAAAAAAACAATCTACTCACAATTATGAAAAAGCTATATATACTCGTCTATTATGGACATATATATATCACGTCTTACCAACATGCACTCATAAGTTGATTAACTATTTCACCAATAAATATTTACTAAACATTTTTTGAAATTTACAGTTTAAATTTTTATTTAGTAAAATTTGTATTGAAGAAAAAACAAGTTTCATTCAAAAACTAATGGAGTATTTGATTATATAATTATTTATGACTCATACAGTCATACTCTACGAACCTTCCATAAATTTCATTGACTTTTTATTTTATTTAATATATTTTCGGCCATCGTTTCATTTTCATTTTTAACTTTGGTTTTATCTTCTCTCTTGATTAGACGCCAAGCTGCCATATTTTCCGCCGGAGTTTCAGTGAGTTTTTTTTTTTCTTTCTCATCTTTACTATTGATCTCATCTCTTAAGAAAAAAAAAACTAATCACCATTGTCTCAATTAGTTACACCACCAAACATTTTGATTGAAATCTTCTGCTCAATTTCTATTTTTTTTTTATCTGAAGGTGAAACACAAATGCCAATTAAATCACAACCCTAAAACCCTAAATCTGTTTAGAATCTGTTGTTCATAGAAAGTTTTAATTTTTTAATTTTGTTTGATGTGTATTGTTTGCAGAGGATGAGTTAAAGAAGGCAACACGGGTTTTGTTCAAAGGAAGGATCTTTGACACATGTACTAAAAGCAAAGGTACCTTTTCGTCGTTACTTACAACTCCCAAAAAGAAATCCATTTCTGCATTTACGAGGTTGATAAAAAAAGGTTTGTTCTTTGAGTTTAGATAAAGATGTTGAGATTCCTGAAACTAGTTTAAGCTTTGTTGCAATCATTCTGGTTGCTATGGAATCTGGCTAAAAGCAGAATCTTTTAAATCAATTTTTAATTATTCTTTGGAGTTTGGCTTTGAGGGAAGCTAAGAAAGTAGGGATGCCTAACAATCCCATTTACATATCATTGTTTAATGCTCTGTTTTTGAGTTTCTTGACGTGCTTAGAATGTAACTACTCCCTGATTTGGCTTGAATTGAGAAGTTTCAGTTTTTGAGTTTCCCTCTCTTTTCTCTTCTTTCTCTGGCCTGTGTTTCTGTGGTAATTCAGTTTCAGTCTCAGTCTCTGCCTTTGTCTTCTTCATATCTTTGGTTTAAAGTTACTTTCCTCTGTGAAATGTATTGGAGTCATCATTCATGTTAGTATCTTCTCTTTGTCTAATGGTTTGTATATGTTTTGATATTTCACTTTCATACCAGTAAGCTCCTTGAGGTGACTCGACCTGGGTTTTAGTTAATCTGAAGTTTTGCGTTCAAATGGCTGATCTTCAAGAGAGGATGTCACTCTCCTCGTCTTCATCCTCCTCCTCATCATCATCGTCTTCTCTGTCACTAACAGCAATGCCAATAGATGGAGAGTTGTGGATGGTTGCCGAGGAAAGGGCTCAGGAGATACTTAACGCCATCCAACCTGTCTTTGTTTCAGACAGAAGCAGGAACGAGATCATACATTATGTCCAGACCCTTATTAAGGATCGTCTTGGAATTGAGGTTAGACACTTTGGTTCCAGTTAGACTTGCTTGCCTTTCTGTTTTGTTCACTAGGAAAAAACATATCCATATATATTTATAGTGACTAGTTGAAACTTTATTTGATGATAACATCTGGTTGTGATATGTTTATAATGATTAGTTGAAACTTTGTTTGATAATGATATCTGGCTGTGATGTTGCAACTTTGATGCGGTACTGTATTTACCAGGTCTTCTTGTTTGGCTCGGTGCCACTAAAAACCTACCTCCCAGATGGAGATATTGATCTGACAGTCCTAACTCCTCAAGATAAAGAAGAGGACTTGGCTGACACGTTGTGCAATATGCTTAAAGCTGAAGATGGAAAATCTGGTTTCTATGTAACTGATGTTCAATATATTGCAGCACAGGTTTGCTTGATTCCTTTGTGGCTTTTGAATTAAGTGTATTCATCATTCCTTTCACAAAACTCATTATTTGCTTATGCTGATGTTAGGTTAAGGTCATAAAATGCAGTATCAGGAACATTGCTGTAGACATCTCCTTCAATCAAATGGCAGGACTCTGCGCTTTATGTTTTCTAGAGCAGGTAAACACTCTCATATCTCCGAATTATAAATAGTTATTGGTGAATCTTTGATTTGGTTTCTCTGTTAGGTTGACCAGGTGTTTGGGAGAGACCATCTATTCAAGCGTAGCATCATTTTGATCAAGGCTTGGTGCTACTATGAGAGCCGTATTCTCGGTGCCAACACTGGATTGATTTCAACATATGCTTTGGCAGTACTAGTCTTGCATATCATCAACATATCTTATTCATCACTATCTGGCCCTTTAGCGGTGAGTGTGTATTATAACTCTGAGCTTATCTGCACATTAGTTCTAAGATTTAACATATGGTATCTAATGTCACCAGGTTCTGTTTAAGTTCTTGGATTACTATGCATCATTTGATTGGGATAACTACTGTCTCACTGTCAATGGACCAGTTCTGATATCTTCTCTGCCAGATATGACTGGTAATGATGCTGATGTTTTCTTGAACGAGAAGTTCTTTAGAGAATGCATAGAGTTATATTCGGTTCCAACTAAAGCTGTTGAAGCAAATGGCCATTATTTTCCTGTAAAACATTTCAACATTGTGGATCCTTTGAAGCACAGTAACAACCTTGGCCGTAGTGTGACAAAAGGTACTCCCATCGATCAAAGATTTGTAACCAAACATAAGCTCATGATTTAGTCTCTCTTTTGTTGTAATTTTTATTAGGCAATTTGCAACGTATAAGACATGCTTTTACTCTGGGAGCTAGAAAGCTCAAAGATGTGCTTTCAGTACCTGGAGAAACCATGGGCTGGAAACTGGAGAAGTTCTTCAGTAGTTCATTAGAGAGGAACGGTAAAGGACAAAGACAAGACGTGGAGGAACCTGTCGTGGCCTTTGGCACAGGAAGATCAGAACCATCTGAACTCAGGGGAGACGTTGAAGGATACTTCAAAAGTCTTGTATACGGGAAATGGTTTCACGGAGAGACTCAGCATAGGTGGATCCCTCAGGGGCAAGACACAAGTTCTTGGGACATTGTTCGTTGGTTTGTCACTGGACAAAAGAATGTTTTCTATAGGAGGAATCTGAATGGATCATCAAACTCGTTTCAGAACATGAGGAGATCAAGAGGAACAGGCACTTACATTCCTGAAATGGTACAGTTTATTCACCATCTTTCTTCTTGAGTCGTTTGTTTATGAGTTTTTGTATGATCCATCAGGTTTTATTTTTGCAGAGTCAGCAATCTTATACAGACAGGTTCAGTAACAAACCGAGCAGGGTGAACCCATTGCCTTCAGCATCTCAGTCTCAACTTCTCAAACAGAATATTTGAATCGGTTTCTTAGGTTTTGTCTCTCATGTTTACCAACAGAAAACAATGACAGTTTTTTTTTTGTTATGGTGATAAATGTGAAGTTCCAGAGGTTGAAAGCATATGCATCTTTTTAGGATTGTAATTGACTTATATGTTTGGCCTAGTCCTTTAGAGATCTCTTGACAGTAGAAGATTTGATGTTATACTTTAGTAACTACAATGAATCTAGCTCTTTATAAAGTTAACAACCAAAAAATCCCAAAATTAGAGAAAATAATCTCGACTGTAAGATTATTATTACATCACCATGACGCTATCTTAGATAAGTCTTTATGTTTGATCTAATAGAGAAGTTGTTATCACATGTTAGTCTAGAGTTGAGGTCCACATGACTTTCTTATCCATTTATTTACTTAGATTGATATGTCCTATGTATGATGACGATATAATTCCAAAGCATTACGTCATTTTCTCTGGCCATCAGTATCCACAACTTATTGTATATTATCTCCTCTATGATAGAGCGATTCTCTATGCAAGATGAGCGGATGATTTGTATAGTTATAGTTTGAACGATACGATGTTAATCTGGTTAAGTAATGATTTTGGTTATAAAAGAGATCTTAGTAGGTTTGGTGTAATTAGTGTTAGTGTTATTATGTAGATGGTGACACTTAGGTAGGTAATGTTATTTGTTAAATTAATGAAGACACATAAGTAGGTAACATTATTTGTTAAATTAATGAAGTTAAATATTTCTTCTGCATATAGCCCCTCACTTCTTATTATATTAAGAACAGATCTCAATGATACATACCTGTGTGTACTCATTCTTTAGAATCAGTAAAAAACTAAGAAATAATATCAGCTTGTAATGCATTTTTAAGCTATACATGATCATTATAAGCAAACACAATTATATACTTCCTCTGTGCTGGATATTATGTCGTTAGATATTATGGATACCTCTGATTACATACTAATCATAATATGTATATATATAATATTAATTACTTCAGTCTGCATTGACTAATGATGGTACGTGTTTCTGATGTTTACGTTGCTACTTGCTAGTAAACGATAGACAATTTATATAGTTTTTTTGGGTAAAAGACAATATATATATAGTTTAAAAAATATATTATTTGTGCATATTAGGTTCTATAATTACGCTTAAAATTCTTCAAGAAAATACTAGTTTTCCATGAGTAATAATTAAATTATCTGTGGTCAATGCAACTTTTTGAAAAGTCTAAATTGTTTTTAATTAAAAACCAAATCATAATATAGGGTTTACTCACAATTTATATATTGTCTTATCAACTTTTCCAATAAATATATGACTTATCATGGAACAAAGCATGCAATGATGGATCATTACGATAAAAGGAAGATAACATAAAGAAACCAAAGAAAAGAAGAAAAAGTAAGAAATGGCCATGTTATAAATCCATCATGACCATTGTTTGCCAATTTCAACAAAGTTGGCCCTCCAAATTTGATAATTCAATGTTTCTTTTCTATGTAGTTATTTATATATATGCACTATAACATAAACAACAACACCACACTCCCTTCTTGCACGCTAAAGACATCAAGAAGAAAGAAAACCCAAATATACAATCGAAAATTCTTTTATTTTCACCATTTAATTTGATTGTGTTCTTGAGGAGTTGCTACACGTAATGGATGAAAGCAAGTTTAAACTTCGCGTGTTATTACTCTCTTTCTTACTCATCTCTGTAGTTCCTTCGATTCTCGGGTTCAAAATGAGAGGCAACACTAGATCTGAGTTGGGAGCACTGCACGACGTAGAATATTTACCGACGATAAAGAACAGAAAGTTGATGGTTACAGTTTTGGAAGTTGATTATTCAGGTGATTATGACGATGGAGCCTCTTCAACATCACCATCACCACCAGTACCTGATTATGATGATGACATCTATAAAAGGCAAGGTGATGTCCCAAGCCCCGGTATTGGCCATTGATGATACGTTTTCGTGTGTAGTCTCTACACAGACACATATCATATATACATAATTGTTGTTTACTTGTTCTTCATATATGATTTTCTCCGACAAGGTCGTCTTCTCATATACAAATTTTATGTTAATCTTTCCTCATGTTGGTATATATATACATTTTAAATTATGTTTTTATATATATAAATGTGACCTCTAGATTGAATTGCCTCGTTTCACTGTGTTGATGGGAGCTTCTGGTATGTATGTAAATAATTCATACTCTTTAGATAAACCTGCAATTGTCCTTTGTAAAAATATTTTTGGTGATAAAGAAGTTATGTTAATAAAAACATAACTGTTGTGAATATAATTATACAAATATGTACATTCATTTTCAAGTAACAACTTAATATTGTGAATGTAATTATAAAAATGTGTACATTCTTTTTCAAGTAACAATTAAATGTATAAAGGTTGAACTTCCGCAGCACCAAACAAAATGAGAGAAATAAACAAAAACAAGGAGTTACAGAAAATGAAGCATGAAAAGAAGATAATTGAAAAGGAGCACCAACCAATGACTTTAGGTTTGATATTTCCAAACACAATATTTCATTTAAAATAAAACCAACTAGATTTTGAACCCGCACATCCGTGCGGGTAATTTTTCATTTTATAAAAATATAACAAAATCTTTCAGATATATCATTTACATTTTATTTTTATATTGTATAACTATAGAATCTTATTATTTTAATTATTTTATATAATATATTGTTGTCATTTTTAAAAAAATATCAAATATATTTTTTTAGATAATGTATTTGTTGTGAATTACAAAAATATATGTCAACATTTTTTGTATAAAAATATTACATGATTTAAAAAAATTAATATGTTTGAACAGTGAATAAAAGAAAATTTTAAATAAATATTTTTCTTTACCAATTTAATATATTTTATATTAATTTCACATAGCATTTTATTTTAATATAATATAGAAAATCATTAAATTATAAAATATACCAATTTTTATTTTTAATTAACATTAATATATATATATATATATTTATCCCGAAATTAAATAATATATATTTTATAAAAATATTTAACTTTCTTGGTAAGATCTTGTTAGATATTTTCTCAACAGATTTTGTTATAAATGAAATTAAAGATAACTTTATAGTTATATATTATTAAAATATTTCTTCAGTAATATATATTTGGTTGATTAATATAAATAATCAAATATGTTATATTAATGAAATAGTCCA